AAAATACTACGCACAATCAAAGACCCGCTAGGTTGACACACCTAGGCAAAAATAAGGGCTTCCCGGCGAACCAAAAGGGTTCGGGAAAAATAAGGGATGAAAATGAAAAATCTGTACACCCAGCAAGTCGAAAACCTGAAAAGGCGGCTTGGGCAAAAATGGGTATCCCGGTGGACTGAAAACCTAAAAGGGCGGTCCAGGCAAAATTTAGGGATCAGAGCGTACGACTATGTCCTGTCATCTCGTCACTTGCCTACCAGAAGAAGATTTGTCAAATCGGCAGTCATCAAGCACCTCCACAGGTATCTTCCTCTCCCACATCAGAAACAGGGGCAATAATGAGTTGTCTAAGCGATCTAATTGCTCTGTCCACCAAGGTACAAAGGTAGGTTCGGTTGAAAAACATGACCAAGATATCTTAATTCCCCAGAGAGTGAGCCAGCAAGTCAGCGATACTCTCCCCAAGCAGAGTTAGTCCACTATCAACCTCAAGGAAGTTGGATTATCCCCCGCGGATCTCAACATTCCCCAGCGGAGTATACAAACATCCTTAACAAGCATCCCCGGCAGTCTTGATCTAATATTGTTCCCCGGCAGAATACCAGACATTCGGTGGAGCCACTTCCCTAGTACATCTCAAAAAAATTTCCCCAGGAGAGTCCAGTCCAAAAGTTTCCCCAGGAAAGTGGAATCCATATCCCCAGCAGGTCTTAAAGCTTATCCCCAGTAGATTCTGGAAGCTTGTCATCCGCATAGCACGAACGCGTCTCCCGGCTTTATTCAAAGGTTATTTCCCCACCAGGATATAACTGGGTTATCCTCAGCCAATTGTCACGGAAAGATCGTCCCCGACGAAGTCTTCCTATCCCCGGCAGAGTCTGTTAAAACTTTCAACATAACAACGGTATCCCCAGTGGAGTTATCATCAACCTCAACGAAGTATTCCTCTCCCCACAGAGCATTCCCCGCAGAGTAATCTATTCGCCAAGTTTGTTCCCCAACGGAGTCATCTTCTTCTACCGGTATTCTTGCAACCATCACCCCCAGCGGAAACAGAGCTCTACTCTTCCATATCAGCCCAGGATTCAACTTCCCGGCACCCGTCAAGGATTTATTTTCCTAGACGAAAATACATTCATAAACATCACCTTGTCATACATTATGATACATGCATACACGCATCGTATCACCCCAATCTCATTTATTTTTTAGAACATCATGACATCATGCATGTCATACATTATGACATTGCATACAACTAACTCGTTACTTTTTCAGGAAAAGAACGATCAACAGATAAAAGTCTTTACCTTTTGAAGTAGAAGACATCCAAGATTCCTTCATCATTCTGTTGAGGTAGTAATCGCCCAAAGGTTCTCTCATCGTCCCGTTGAGGTAGTAATCGCCCAAAGGTTCTCTCATCGTTCTATTGAGGTAGTAATCGCCCAAAGGTTCTCTCATCGTCCCGTTGAGGTTGTAATCGTCCAAGGTTCTCTCATCGTCCCGTTGAGGTAGTAATCGCCCAAAGGTTCTCTCATCGTCCCGTTGAGGTAGTAATCGTCCAAGGTTCTCTCATCGTCCCGTTGAGGTAGTAATCGCCCAAAGGTTCTCTCATCGTCCCGTTGAGGTAGTAATCGTCCAAGGTTCTCTCATCGTCCCGTTGAGGTAGTAATCGCCCAAAGGTTCTCTCATCGTCCCGTTGAGGTAGTAATCGCCCAAAGGTTCTCTCATCGTCCCGTTGAGGTAGTAATCGCCCAAAGGTTCTCTCATCGTCCCGTTGAGGTAGTAATCGTCCAAGGTTCTCTCATCGTCCCGTTGAGGTAGTAATCGCCCAAAGGTTCTCTCATCGTCCCGTTGAGGTAGTAATCGCCCAAAGGTTCTCTCATCGTCCCGTTGAGGTAGTAATCGCCCAAAGGTTCTCTCATCGTCCCGTTGAGGTAGTAATCGCCCAAAGGTTCTCTCATCGTCCCGTTGAGGTAGTAATCGCCCAAAGGTTCTCTCATCGTCCCGTTGAGGTAGTAATCGCCCAAAGGTTCTTTCATCGTCCCGTTGAGGTAGTAATCGTCCAAGGTTCTCTCATCGCCCCGTTGAGGTAGTAATCGCCCAAGGTTCTCTCATCGTCCCGTTGATGTTGTAATCGCCTAAGGTTCTCTCATCGTCCCGTTGAGGTAGTAATCACCCAAGGTTCTCTCATCGTCCCGTTGAGGTAGTAATCGTCCAAGGTTCTCTCATCGTCCCGCTGATCGCGACTTTGTATGTCTATAAATCTGGAGACTGCAAGTGCACAGTCCTATCGCGTAGTCTTAAAAGATATCGAATCCACAGGGACTATGAATCGATCTACCGTAGTTTTGGTTACTGGGTAAAGCTAAGGCTAATATTAATTTAATTGACGAAAGGGATCTAATTACCAAATTTAGTTATAAAATTTTTAATTATAAATACCGGTATGTATTTCACCTAAATTTTGGGTTCCGAATTTCCACTGGCCTTTACTTAAATTGGTCAAAAATTATCTTTACGCAAACTTTATTGGTCTAAAAACCTTCCCCTCACACTTCCGTTCTATTAGTTCAGGTTATACGATTAATACCCTAACGTGTGCTTCCGTCACTCCGCCGGATTCAAAAGTAATTTTTGAAAACAGAATAAAATTTAATTGTTTTTAAAATGCTTCCGCCTCTTTAAAAACAATGCCTAATAATCACTATCTGGTTTTAGCCTCAAACTTCCGTTTTATTAGTAAAAACCTTAATCAATTTTAAAACCTCAAACTTCCGTTCTATTGATTTATAAAATCTTAAACAATTCAATTGAATATTAAAACCATGAAAGGTATTTCTTTTACAAAATAATATTAAGCCAATTTATCTCGGATCCCGTTATTTGGTTAATTTACATACCGATATTTAATCGGTTTAGCCGGACATGTTTATTAAATTAAATACGCATAGATAATTAAATTGTGAACAATTATATAAATTCATATCCATAATAACAAACATGTAATAATAATAAATAAATAAAAGCGATTAAATTAAAAACCTGGAAATGTAGAAAACTTCAATAACTTCAATTAAATGCGTTCTTCAAAAACCTTGGAGTATTCCACCACAAGCCGGTTGGATCTACTCGTCGAATCTTGAATTTAATAATAATAACAACAAAGAAATAAAATACTAAGATCTAACGTAAGGTTAGACCGGATAAAATTGCACAACAATTCCCGGTGTAGAAATTGTTGTACGAAAAATAAAGGCAGAAAACTGGAGAAGAAAAGAAAATAAAAATGATGCGATGAAAAGAAAAGGCAGAACAAAAATTAAAATGGAAGGAAATTTGCTCTGCTGAAAATAGTACGATCTTGCAAAAATTCTCCGACCCTTGGGATTTTTCCTTCACTTCTATTTATAATGCTTGTAAAATAATGTATCCCAAAAGGTCAATCCACGTAAAACTGAATATCCAAAAAATATTGCTAGTGGACTTTGTTGCATAACGTGCGCGGAAATATAGCAAAAGTAGGTTTCTTCATTGACTTGGGACCGGTCGTTCCGTGTGAGGAGGAAATGGCGTGAGAATAGGATAGGGCAGGGAACGATCGTTCCACTCAGCTGAAGTGGTCCGGACCGGTCGTTCCCCTTAGTGGGTCGGTCGGTCCCTTCAAGCTGAAGTGGGGAACGTGCGTTCCCTTGGCCCTTTGTACGTACATTCTTCTTTTGGGCCTTGCAATTTCATTCTTTTCACCCCCTTTTACTAATCTGCACCACATTGCTCAATTATCTTCATTTTTGTATTAAATTGCATCTATTTCTTCATTTTTCTTCACATAAGCTTATTTGAGGCAAAATACCTGAAACAAAGAAATACCAGCGTAATATGGAAATAAAATAAAATAAATTAAATAAAAACATGAATTATTTGCATTAATTAAGTCGATTTATACGATATAAAATCGTGTTATCAAACTCCCCTACACTTGAACATTTGCTTGTCCTCAAGCAAGAAATATATATCTCTCTAAATGCGGGTCAGACGCAACAAAAATTGCCACAAGTCAAAAATGTATTAAGTTGCACATTGCTCTTGAGCTCTCGACTTCGATATTAAAGTCACCGTAACAATACTAAATAAACTCAGGTTCGAAGAACAATTCTAGTGACGCCATCATAACTTAACTCTAAATCCTACATTTTGTTTCACCTTTTTCATTCAGGCGCAATCACATTAAGCCCTTTGCCCTTTCGCGCACATAGTGGAGTGACCGGTTAGTGAATTTGATCTTTTAAGCCTGCTAGGAGTTCTGGTACTTAATAGTTGGTAACTCCTTTTTGTTCTTTTGTAAATTGCGGGGAATCGAACCGTAGTTCGCCCTACCAAGTCCAACACCAGAAACCGCTGAACCAATTTACAAAGAATTTATTAATTGATAATTTATAAGGTTCGCGACCGTTGGGCTAAATAGTCTGGTAAGGACTATCTAACTTAGTTAGAGCGTTTCTAAATATTATTTTTTTTATTTTCGATCAATCACTTATATTCATCGATCCTCCACGTAGTTTGCTATTTAGACGGTGCTGACCGCTTGTATAAACTACTAAAGGTTACTTTAAAACCTAGAATTTAAATTTTCGGTATATAAAGGGTACTAAAATTTTAATTCATTTTCCTGAGATTTTAAAGTGTTGGTACTAAATATTTTCTTCTAAAGAAGCAACTTTGATACACTTTTTGAGTGTGTATAATTGTGCGTCTGACCATAAGAAAATTTTTTTTTATGGTTCAAGAATTTGGCGAATTCGGATAATCATGAACTTATATATGTATATAAGACTTAATTTTAATAACAAAAGGGAAATTACAAAAGGGAAATTTGCTTACTTGAAGAAAGATAACAATAGTTAATTCGACCCCCCTACACTTAAACTGAGCATTGTCCTCAATGCTTATAAATGGGGAATCGAAAAATACAAAAAGAAAAAGAAAAGAAAGATTAAGAACTAATCGTTACGATGTGAACGACTTCCTCTTCCGCGAGTTCTTGGACGGCGCTCATCTTGGCGTTGTGGAGGTACGAATTCGTCCAAGCGTAGGTGAAGTGAGTGCATAGAAACTCCAAGGTCAATAACATTTGTATTCAAGGTGTTGTAGTTGTTATGCATTTGTTGTACCAATGCAAATGTTGTGTTTTGTTGGTTTTGCATCTGTTGCATGGTTTGGTATAGAGTTTCCATGGTGAGATGTTGTTGTGCATTTCTTCTTCCATTTCATCCACGGGAGCATTATTCTCAGCTTCGGGTGCAATTAAATTGAATAACCAGTGGAAATATTAAATTGAAGATAAATATTAGAGAAATGTAGTAGAAAGTAAGAAATGGTGTGAAGAGATAGTAAGAAATGAGGGGTATTTATATTGTGAGGGTGTTTAAATGGTGATAATGAGAATTTAATGAGAGTTAATGGGGGAGTTGGAAAGGGTAAAAATTTGAAAAAAAAATGAGATAGTGGAGTAATGGGAATTTAAGAGTGGTTTGAAGTTGTTTTATGGAGAAGATAAATGGTAAAAAGGAGTTTTGAATTTAATTTGGCGTGGGAGACAAAGAGACACGCTTTACAGCATGCTACAGGGGGCCGGTCGTTCCCTTCAGTGGTAGGACAGGGGGACGGTCGGTCCTGCTTTTTAGTCAAGAAAAGGGGACCGGTCGGTCCAGGGGGCATGGTGTGCGTGGGACCGTCCGGTCCTGTGCCTGCGTGGGAAATTCAACTTTTCCTATTGTTTTCTGTTGATACAGTACGTTATAATATATATCTCAGGCACAGAATGCATAGTGTTTGCAAACAGTATCATTTCAGCTTTATTTGATACCACTTAATAATCTAATAACTAATATAAATAACATTGAAACAAAACAAGAAGATAAATAATATTGAACTTTAAATTGCATAATTAAAATTGTACTACAAAGAACATAAAATAAACCAAATTGCAAAACATAATTCAAATGAAATCTAAATGCAAATCGAATAAATAACTTAACTAAAACTAACTAATTAAATAAATTCTCTCATTAGCCACTTTTTTTATTATCGTCTCCGTTATTCTTCTGCATGGAATAGATATGTTGAAACACTTCATCAAACTGCATAGCTACCGTGTCGACGAATCCAGAATGATCCATCCGGAGTGTATTAACTTCATTGTTCACAGCTGTGAGGTTTTCTTTCAGATTCTTCACTTCTTCCTTCAATTCCTTAATTGTTTCTTCTTGGTTCATGGGATCAGATCCTTGCTTATTTTCTTCAATCACCGGAGTTACCGGTGGTGACAAAGGTTGCTCGGGAAAGTCATGGTACGCAGGTGGTGTCTCAGGGTCAGATTCACTTTCATAAATCTCAGGTATCTCATAATCCTGGATTGTTTCAGTGGAGCGAGCAGGAGATGGTAAACCGTCCAAATTATACAGCCAATTTCCTTTATCGTGAACACTGGTGCGTGGACTAGGCAAGGTAAAGAGGTTAACTACCTCATTATTAATCAGCAATTCAAATTCTCGTGGACCATGGTTTCCAATTAATCTTCTGTTGAAACAAAAACTGAGATCCATTGGTCGGATACCTCCGTAAGGGTGGCAACACAACAGTGGTTGCCGCAAACCCAAAGCATTCGCTATCATTGTTACCATTCCTCCCATCACGATGGGCATATTATCATCTTGAAGCATTTTCTCAATGGTAACTAATAGAAAAGCGACACCGTTCACGGGCCGATTCTGTACAGCACAAAGCATAATAAACAGTTCATCTCGAGAAACAATAGTGTTATTCTGTTCCTTTCCAAACAGGGTATGTGACAGAATATGGTGAAAATAGCGGAACGCCGGATTATGAATATAATCCGCATGTGGCTCAGGATGCTCAAAGCTACTCAACCCAGTCAATGATTCCCAGAATATGTCGAGCTCGCGGTAATCAAACAATTCTTCCTGCTTTGATGTAAAAGTATCAAATCCATCTGGGAATCCCAGCAAAGCAGAAAAGTCATGAAGATTATACCTATATTCCATTCCAAATAGCCTAAAGAAGATAAGACCTCTCTTCAGGCCCTTCCCGTAATGTGGGAGGTAGTTAAAAGAGCTCAGAAATTCCAAAGTCAATATGCGGTAGGTACAGAACCGCCTCAACATATGAGCATCTTCCCATCCAATTTGATTCAGCAGAAACAAAACACTATCATGAATTCCCAAAGTAGTCATAGCAAAAAGATCAGGATAATATGTCAGGGACATATTCCTTGCAGCTAATGAATTGTATCTGCCTCTTTGGCCTCTTCCTCTGAAAGCTATTTCCATAGTATCTTCCATTGTTAGTTGGTCAGCTTAATTTTTAAGTTAATTAAGTTGGCCTAAAATTAATTAGATACAGGAAATTTAATCATATTTTTGGCCAGATGCCGAAAAGAAGAAAATAAGAATAAGCATAATAGTGATAGAATGAAGAAGAAATATAGATGAAATAGAATATTAGAGAAGATATGTGTATAAGTGATTATGAATGAGAGAAATAAAGAGAAAAATAAGAATAATAGTAAGAATGATAATAAGAATAATAAAACAAAAAAAGGTAAATATAATAATTAATCATAAAAAGGTGGGTTGTCTCCCACTAAGCGCTTTGTTTTATGTCGTAAGCTCGACAAATAAAATCAAAGTTTTAAATTTCTAATTGAGCAGGTGGCTCTATTAAAGTTATTTCTTGAAAGTAATCGTTACTCTCTGCGCTGTGATATGGTTTTAAACGTTGTCCATTAACTATAAAGGGTTCGGAAATCTTTCCTTTGATTTCGACCACTCCGTTAATAAACGTGTTTGTTATTGTGAACGGACCAGACCATCTGCTGCGTAGTTTTCCAGGAAATAATTTTAATCTTGAATTAAACAGTAGTACGATATCACCTATTTTAAAATGCTTTCTATTTATTCTTTTGTCGTGCCATGTTTTTGTTCGTTCTTTATAAATCTTGGCGTTCTCATACACATCTTGTCTCAATTCCTCTAATTAGTTTATATCAAGGATGCGCTTCTCGCCTGCCGTTGTGTAATTCAAGTTTATATTTTTAATAGCCCAATAGGCCTTGTGTTCTAATTCAACCGGAAAATGGCAAGATTTTCCATAGATGAGCTTAAACGGGGTGGTTCCTATTGGTGTCTTAAATGCGGTCCTATATGCCCAAAGAGCGTCAGATAGTTTTGAGGACCAATCCTTTCTCGAAGTTGCTACAGTCTTTTCTAATATTTGCTTGATTTCACGATTAGAAACTTCCACTTGTCCACTCGTTTGTGGATGATAGGGTGTAGCTACTCGATGTCGGACACCGTATTTCCTTAGGAGTTTTTCGAATATCTTGGAAATAAAATGAGAACCTCCATCGCTTATTACTAATCTTGGTATACCGAATCTCGGAAATATCACGTTTTTGAAGAGCTTTAATACAACTCGGGTATCGTTTGTTGGAGAAGCTATAGCTTCTATCCATTTAGATACATAGTCAACTGCCACGAGTATGTATTTGTTACCAAAAGATGACGGGAATGGTCCCATAAAGTCTATACCCCATACATCGAAAATCTCTACTTCCAGAATGCCTTTCTGTGGCATCTCGTCGCGTCTTGAAATGTTACCAGTGCGTTGGCACCGGTCACACTTAGTGACTGCGATATGAACATCTTTCCATAGTGTTGGCCAATAAAGACCTGATTGTAGGATTTTTGTACATGTTTTAGAAGTACTCGTGTGTCCTCCGTATGGTGCGGAGTGGCAATGTTTAATCACGCTTTCGACTTCTTCTTCGGGTACGCAACGACAGAAAATTCCATCGGGTCCTCTTTTGAATAACAAAGGTTCGTCCCAGTAATATTGTTTGAGATCGTGAAAGAATTTTTTCTTTTGTTGGTACGTTAACTCTGGAGGTAATACACCGGCAGCTAGATAATTTACGAAATCTGCATACCAAGGGACATATGAGATTGCTAAGGTTGTTTCGGAACAGTTTTGAGATTCACTTGCTTCGAAGTGGGCGATTAATTTATCATATTGAGATTCGTCATTGATTGGAATTCGTTCTTGTTTTAGATTTTCGATTCTTGATAGATGATCCGCCACTACGTTTTCAGTTCTTTTTTTATCCTTGATTTCTAAATCAAATTCTTGTAGCAACAAGATCCATCTTAGCAGTCTAGGTTTAGCGTCCTTTTTGGTTAGGAGATATCTAATGGCAGCGTGGTCAGTATAAATTATTATCTTAGCTCCTACCAAATAAGATCGGAATTTATCGAGTGCGAAGACTACAACCAAGAGTTCCTTTTCGGTTGTTGCATAATTCATTTGCGCTTCATCTAGGGTTCTACTAGCGTAATATATGACGTGTAATTTTTTATCTTTTCTTTGTCCTAGGACTGCTCCTACGGCATAGTCACTTGCGTCACACATTATCTCAAATGGTTCACTCCAATCTGGAGTCTTCATGATTGGCGCAGTAATTAATGCTATCTTTAATTGTTGAAAGGCTTCGAGGCATTTTTCGTTAAATATGAATTCAACATCTTTCATTAAGAGTTCAGTTAATGGCTTAGAAATTTTAGAGAAATCTTTAATAAAACGTCGGTAAAAACCGGCGTGTCCTAAGAAACTTCTTATTTCTCTGACAGTTCTAGGGGGTTGAAGGTTTTCGATAAATTCTATCTTTGCCTTGTCTACTTCGATTCCCCTATTAGATATAATATGTCCTAACACAATACCTTCTTGAACCATAAAATGGCATTTTTCCCAATTTAATACTAAGTTTACCTTTACACATCTTTCTAGTACTTTTTCTAAGTTTGCAAGACAACCTTCAAAACTACGTCCGCAGACGGAGAAGTCGTCCATGAATACCTCCATAATATTGTCAAGAAAGTCTGCGAAGATTGCCATCATGCATCTTTGAAAAGTTGCAGGTGCATTGCATAAGCCAAAAGGCATTCTTCGATATGCGAAGGTTCCGAAAGGACAGGTGAAGGTGGTCTTTTCTTGGTCATCGGGGTGTATCGGTATTTGAAAGAATCCGGAGTAACCGTCCAAGTAACAGAAATATGAGTGTCTGGCTAGACGCTCCAGCATTTGATCAATGAATGGCAAAGGGAAATGGTCCTTCCGGGTGGCTTTGTTAAGTTTCCTATAATCAATGCACATCCTCCAT